ATATTTGGCAGATGATTGTAAAGTCAAGTATGTTAAAATTATTAAAACTAAAGCAATTAAGGATACTTAGGACAAACAGAACACACTTAAAAAGGACAAAAGAGACATTAAATTTTAAAAAGGGGGATTTAAAAGCACTATATATATATATATATAATATATATATATATATATATATATATATATATACATCTTGAATAAATATAAATAACTTTTAAAGAAATAAATAATACAAAATATCACTTTCATTTAACAAACAATCACATTACACCTATTTTCTACTTTATTGGATAAAATCTATCTCTTCAAGAAACTTCCCCGTTGATTGTCAAACAATTACAATAGTAAAACTGAAGATCCCCATTCAACAATTACAGGATAGTATGAACTATGTTCTCCCAACCATTAATTAATAGTGTACCGGCATCATTTAATTAACTTTGTATCGACAGACCTGAAGATGCTTTGCAAATTGTAGAATGCGGAACTGGTCGTCTAGATAGTTAAATTAAACTGATTGTGAGTAAGTATTATTTATTATTTCTTTTACCTAATTGAAAATTATACTTTATTTACGATTACTTTTTTAAACATTTTGAAGAAAACATTTATTTTCATCGTGGTGAATCTTCTAAAAGTTATATTAATGAAAAATCCTTGAAGACGTGTAAGTTTAAATAATTATAAAAAATGATAAAATTATTTTTTGCCTGTAAAACCTTTCTTATACATCTTAGAGAAGAATGGTTTAAATAAGAGTTGTAGTTCTTAAAAGTTCTTTAATTTCCTTCAAATTTTTCTGTATTCCATCGATCGCAAAAGTTTATTTAAAAGCTTTAAAAAAAAAGTATATAATTTAAAATCCCTTTCGGGCTACATCACAGAACGTTTTCGCGGTAAAAATCCCATCATCAGTGTTTTGTTACTAGGTGCACATGAGTCACGCCACTAAATACCTGGGTAACAACCCTTTAGATGGCACAAAATTTAATAGGTATGTCTTACATATTTTTTTAAATATGTTGTGATGTTTAAGTATTTCTCAGATAACCTGCATGTCAACGTAACACTCCCACTAGGGTTCGCTGTTGACCATCTTCAGACATTGCCATATGATCACATATATCACACATATGTTTAAATAAAATGTAGGACATATTATCCATTATATTTAGTTTGTTGACTCGTGTGCATCTAGTAACACAACACTGATGCTTTTATAGCCCGAAAATATTCTGTTATGTAGCCGGAAGGGATTTTAAATTATATACCTTTATTAAGGGTTTTAAATAAAGTTATGTAAATTATGTAATTTATAAATTTTAATAACTTTGTTTTTAAATAAAGACATGCAATATAACTACTTGGAATTATGACAATTAATGAGTTATTAAAGTGTGATAAATATCAAGCAGTTCGAAAAAATAGTTTACAATTTATTCAATTTGTTTATCCCAGAGAGCGATTAATTAAACAACTGTACTTGCCCACACAGTGACGCTAGAGTTATTATTAATTATAAAGTACTGCAAAAATAATGGTTTTTGGCAACGGTCAATTTTTTATGTATTTAAATTTAGAGTATCGCAAATTAAAGAACTTTTTAAGATCTAGGGTAGAGTCACCTATATTGAACCAGCTCCTAAATTGGACCTTTTCAAATTTGAGCGAATCGACAACAAATGGTGCTATCCGTTAATACCGACTAGAACTATATCCCGATCCCGAAACCTGTACACGTGTGCAGCTGTAAACAACGGTTGAGAAAATATTAGTGCTTTGTGATTATTTAACTTCCGATACAAACATACTACTACATACCGTTTAAGTAAGTAATCACAACATGTATAATATCTTTATTGGACCAGCAATTGACTTGTAAATTGGACCGGTCCTATTTAGGCAACCGTATTGTAAATTAAACCAGTCCCATTTAGTTCTTGATATATTTATTTTTTATTTCATAGTATCATCACGTGATAAATACGGCAAGTGGAGCACAGACGATTTAAGCAGAGCTATTTGCGCTTTTCGTAATGGTACTTATGCGCTTAATGAATGTGCAAGGTTGTTTAAAATACCTAACGCTACCCTAAAAAGACATCTCGTGCGGGCAAATAATGCAATTTACAAAATGGGTAGGTTTACTGTAGGTAAACTAGTACTGGTATTGATATCTGTAAAAATAATAAAACTGATAAGTGATCATATATCGATTCCTTTAACCCATTTAGTTAATCTCTCAATAACAACCAGCCAATTTCTATCCATATTTAAAAAGCAAAAGTAATCACAATTTTTAAAAAGAAAGACCCTCATGATATTTCAAATTATAGACCAGTATCTGTCCTTAGCATAATTTCCAAAGTAATAGAGAAGGTTGTTTACAACATAAGTTAAATTTATAGAAGAATACAATTTATTAACTCCAAACCAACACGGCTTTAGATAAAAAAAGTAAGCACTCACGCTGCATGCACCTTGTTTTAGCGTATTTCTGATGAATTAGATAGGGGAAACAACGTGGCAGGACTATTTTTTGATCTATCACGACCTTTTGACTGCTTAGACATAACATTTATTCTCAATAAATTATATAACGTTGGTTTTAGAGGGATATTTCTAGAATGGGTAATAAATTTCTTAAGGAACAGGAAGAGTGTTGTTAAAATAAAAGAATCAAGCTCAGAACCATAGACAACAATAAAGGAGTACCACAGGGATCTGTGCTGGGACCATTATTATTCTTAATTTTTATTAACAATCTACCAGATCACATACGGGCGCTTATAATATCAATGTTTGCTGATGATACTTAATAGTCTCTGCACGTACACTCGAGGAATTAAAAATGACAATGAAGACTGTTGTTGACTGCTTTATACGCTGGTGTAATACCAACAGACTAATATTAAACATTGACAAGACGGAAATTATTTATTTTCATTCATACAACTCATCTACCTATGACTATATCTTAACCATCCATGAAAGAAACAATATGTTATCTTCCACTCACTCTACAAAGTTTTTGGGTGTGTTCATTGATTGTAATCTCAAATGGTCAGAGCAAGTGAATTCAGTGAACATGAAATTGAATAAAGCTTTTTATGCTATATCTAGAATTCAAAACACACTACCAATCTCGGCATTAATGAACGTTTATTATAGCCTTGCTTACAGCCACATGTGCTATAATGTAATTTTTTGGAGGAACTCAGTAGATTGTAACAATGTGTTCATTACTCAAAAACAATTATCCGTAAAATTTTTAATTTGGATTATCAACAATCTTGTAAACCAATTTTTATTAAACATCAAATTTTAACTGCCTATATATCTACAAATGTTTACTTTATGTAAAAGAGGAAATCAATACATTTCCAGTAAATTCAGACAATCACTATTACAATACAAGAACTGCTGAATCTTTACGAGTTCCTAAACACAGAACATCCAAATTTCAAAATTGCTTTAGATATATGGGACTGATCTTATACAATCATTTGCCAAAAACAGTGAAAGAAATAACACTTTCCTCTAGATCAGGAATAACCAATTATATTCCTTGAGGGTCCGTTACGAAAACCTACTACACTTCCGCGGTCCGGACTCTCAGCACTAAACCAGGTAGTAACCCCCCTCAGGAGATAATACTGGTTACGTAGTTGAAACCTGGCAACTAGATCACCTTCAAGATTCAAAGAGGGGATCGAAATAACTTTTTTTAAATCAAAACTATCCTTGCCAAAAATAGTCCACCAAAGCCTTGTGTAAATCTTCTCCTGTAGTAGTTCCTGATAAAGGCAAAATAGTTAAAAGTTCTTCAACAAACTCTTCACTGGTCCTGTCCAGGTAGCGCACGAAAATGACAAGCTGTACTGTATCTGTATAATATTTTTAGTGACAGCCAAGATTTGTTTTAACATTTTCTATGTTTCATCTGCCAATACCTGTGTATTATTTGTGCTTGAAGTAGTATATATTGAAATACGCTGAATATTATCGACAACATCTTTTTATTAATTTCCTGCTTCCAGATTCCAGAAAACACTCTTTAACGATAGCCGCGTCACTAAATGGCTTTATTTTGAATGTCTTAAAGGATCAATAAAGTATGACTATGACTTTGACTATGACTATTGTTTGTGATTTTTTGCAATATGTATAAACAGTATTTAGTAAATGATTTTTATGATAAAATTTTGAAATATTTATTAACATGTAATACAATAGATATGTGGAAAGTGGTCCAAATTAGGAAACCGTACTCTACATCTTTTATTTGAACCAATTGTCTCTAAAATGTACAACAAACGTTTTTATATTCAAAAAATGATCTGTTCACTTTTTATGATTGTTAAAAAAACAAAGCAAAATCAGCTGTACGTCTTCAACGATTTGTTATAAGCTACCCATCATATACCTTTTAGAACCTTTAAAATCATGGCTAAGAATGGTTTTTTCACAGATGATTGGGGTAATGTGTGTATGGTTGGAAATATGACTGTGTTTTGATCGCCAGTTTCTTAAATTTTTTATAGTGCGTGTACGATTTTACTAAAAGTTTTCCAATTGGACTTCTTACTCTTAACCAATATTTATTATATCTGGACACTTTCATCAATGTAGAATGTGAAAAAGAAGAATAATTTAAATCTACAAATCCCAAGTGCACTACATTTTGTGTAATTTCTTAGGTATCTACTTACTACTTTTTAGGTAAATAATGAAAAGGTAATTATAAAAAATATCTGTGTAACATTTGTATGTATTTTAGTAATCATATTAGGGTCTACGATTATATATTGACAAAACTCAACATGATCAACACGTCTGTAATCATTGCTACTTACTATTTAGCAAACTATCTTAATGAATTGGAACACTTATTTTGAGCAAAATATAAAATTTTTTATCTTTACGTTCACATCATACGGTAAATACTAACAAACATCTCAAATACACATCTAACAAAACATTATAAGATATTGTTACATTTTTGTCTTTATTTTGCTGCAATAACATGCAATAACATCGTTGATTTAGAAGAATATTGAACACGGCGGAACAATTTAGAACGTGTAGGCGGTGAGCTATGGGAAAATCCACCATTCTGGCGCCTGCTCAAATTGATGTCGAATCTGGAATTCCAGTGGAGATAGTCAATCCAGATTTAGTCAAATTCAAGATTTAGATAAAAGTATTGTAAAACAAGAATAAACTCAAAAAACACCGTTTTAGTTTATGAATCTATGAAACATTTATATTCATACTAAAATACCATTTCAGTAATATTCAAGATTTAAATTTTAACTGGTCAACCTGCCAATAGAGTGTCTAAATTTTTTAAATAAGTCTATAAAAATATACAAGGTTTCACATACACAATACAAATTTAGGGAGTGCATAATCTCATGAAACTGATATCGTTAAGAATTTGACGAAAAGCTGGAATAGCAATTGTTCTAATAGGTTCATGGTTCATGAGATTCTGCACCATATTTGTCTTTCTTCTGAAAGCTTCCACCTGGTACAATATTAGTTCTATGAATGTTGTTTACACTTCTTCTTCACTGGTACTTGTTTCAACAGCTTCATATACGAGACTAAACCCTTTACTCACGAGTGTGTCGTCGGTTTTGAACCTAACTAACAAGGCTTCGTGCGTTGATATGATGTCAAAGGGTTTCTGAAATAAAATTAATCAGTGTAAACAGAAGTCTTAAAAAAATTACAAGTTTAATTTAATGGATCAGTTATAAAATTTATTTTTATGAGACTTAACATATGATGTACAGCGGGTTCCTAAAAAAACTGATACAAATCTTAGTAAGATTTGATTATTTTGAGCAGTGTATTTGATTGGTCTATCATTATATTATATTTATTATGACAGACTAATAATAAAATAAACAAACAACAAGCAATTGATTACATATGTTAATTATAAATTGTAATAATTATTAAGGTATAAATTTTGATATTTTGAATTCCTGCATTTTATAAAGAGTACAAGAGGGACGAAGAAATACTGTCGGTACGGCGAAGATGGCGGAGTTGGCAATCCTTGATTTTAGGGATAGTATAAGAACAAAACCCGCGGCGTCTGTTCCAGAGTTGGCGGCCGCACTCAGCGTCGGACCCATAATGGGCGGCTGAAACAAACACTTACCAACACAAACATGCAAAGCATGCAAATACCCCAGGCAAGTAGGAAATGATTTCCAGAATTTTGCACTGATAAATTATCAGTCTGTCCCATGGATTCTGGGAAGGGGACTTTAAAAGGAATAAAAATAAAAGGGACAAAAACAGGAAAACGTTTCTATGTCTATGAGTTTTTGGCTTTAGAATTTAGACTAATTTTTCATGTTTGGTCAAGCTTCTTTACCGTGTTTTTAATTTTTTTTTGCAGTGCTTGAGCAATTTCAACTACTACTTCAAGACTATTTTATTGATGTATGTAAAATGATAAATGAAAGCCAAAACAGCCGCCAAAAGGGATCCTAGTTTTAAAAACATTAATCTACATCTACATTTTGCAATACTAACACAAATACGATAAATGTAAGATTTGTTAAAATGCTTACCCTTGATCCACAATATTTTCCATAGGAGGGTCCACTTGAATCCATCCCGCTAAATATTTCTACAAAATCGTATCCACAATCTTTCTCGTCTTCAATGTCAAATGTTAAAAATGAAAGTTTTACATTATATCCTCCTCGTGCTTCTATAGTCCAATCACAATCAGCTCTATTTTCGTAACTTGCACTTCCAAATTTGGCATGAGAATAAATGTGCTGCTTGTCGAATGTAGCCTCCAGCATACCACCACAAACAGTTGAATGTGTGGCCCAGAAACCATTCCTTTGTACGGAAGCATCGGATCTAAAAGTCATATACATCTGGTTTCCTGAAGCTACAATCAAATGAGGGAGTTTCGATCCACAAAATCTTCCTAAGGAAGGAGATTCAGGAGATGCTCCATCGTAAAAATCTACATGATCATACGAACATTCTTGATGCGGTTCTAGTACAAATAACTGGAATGCTATTCTTATTCTGTGTCCCGGAGTTGTTGTAAAATGCCACACACAGTCTTTTCTTGGGGGATAGTAATCAGGATAATTTGGACTTCCTAAAGTGCCGTATGGAGTAGAAATCTCATATTTACATCCCCCTTCTTTACAATCTCTACCATTTTCGGCTAAAGTGTATCCATTATGACAGGTACAGATGTAGGCACCAAGGGTGTTAACGCATTCATGTTCACAACCACCATGATTTATTGAACATTCATCCATATCTGCGAAATTGCAAAATATATATAAATGTTTTATTTATAATGAGTTTTATTACAGAAAAAATGATTTAAAATAGTTACCTGTGAAAAACACTGCGGCAAACCCAGTTTTTTGCACACTTGTATCCGACGAAAATACAATTCTCATAACGTTTCCTTCTGACGTTATAAGAGGAGGTGCTTTTGGTCCACAAAAAGAACCATGCTTTTTTAGTTTATCTTCTTTCAATTTACTATAAATTTCTACTTTATCATATTCACATTGTTGCTGCTGAAGATTAAAATTACCTTCGAGTTCAAAATGTGTAAAATTTATTGTAATTCTATATTGAGGCTGTGCAACTATTTCCCAAACACAATTTTTGTTAAGAGGATACAAATCCGGAAAGGAAGGTGATGTTATGGTACCATTGGGGACATCAAATATTCCTCCACAAGCATCTGCAAATAAGTTAAGCAATTTTGTCTAAAGGTATACTTCTCAAACTTTTTTGTCAATTGCTAATCACTAGACTTCGGCAAATATGCAAATAAAAATGTAGAAAATATGCGCATAAATATGCACGTGTTTACCCGAAAATATGCAAATATTTTACAAAATATGCATACAAATAAATAAAAAAATCGTTAAAATAGTAACAATTTTATTTAAAAAAAAAGTGTACATAACTAAATATTTCCTACTATTCATTAAGATTTACATTTATTTTAAGTAACTACATCATTTTTAAGTATGAATAAACTTATTTAGAATTATGGTAACAATAAATGACCAAGTGGTGTTCAAAATTTTCTAACAAAAACTTGTGGCTTCTGTCTGAGTACATATATTTATATATGGAAAAACTTCGTTCAACATCAACTGATGTAACGGGAGCATTTTTCAAACTAACCAAAACATTTGGTTCTAAATTAATTGTTTCCGAAATATTTCCAGCTAGAACACTGACTACTTCAGAAAGAATATGGTAACCTTTATTTTTTTCCATAGTAGCTTCAAATTTTTTTAAAATATCTTTTCCAATATTACCTCTAACGTTCCGACAACATGACGCAAATTCTTTTATTAATGCTGTACTTTCGAACAATGACAGTTTTGGTGATTCTAACTGAGTAATTGTTTTTTGAACAAAACTAAAATTTGATTTTATAAATGAAAGTTCTTGTTGAAGCAAGTTACTCTGAAAAGTTTGTTTAGAATCCAAAAGAGATTGGGAACTTTCATCTGTTAACGTATCAATTATGTTCTTTATTTTAACAAAATGATCTGCATAAAAATTAGCTGCTTCTAACCATGTTCCCCATCGCGTTAAAATAGGTTGTGGTGGAAGAGGAATGTTAGGTAGCATTTCTTTATAAAGTTGAATTCTTATAGGAGATTTAAGAAATACTTTTTTGACACTGGATATCATGGTATTTACAAGAGGAAACTTTTTTCGTATTTCCTCTGCAACTCTGTTTAATCCATGCGCTACACAAGTAAAATGTATTAAATCTGGGAAAAATATTTTTAAATTTTGTCCTGCTTTCACCATATAAGGAGCAGCATCCGATAAAATAAGCAGTAATTTATTAGAAGGAATAGTTGTCGGAAGAAAAAAAGTTGCTAATGTTTCTTGTATAAAACGCGAAATTGTTAAAGCATTTGTTTTCTCAAGTTGCTGGCATGAAATAAGATGAGATTTTGGTAAGGTATCTTCTTTAAGAACACCAATCAATAAATGAGCAATATACTTTCCTGAGGAATCAGTGGTTTCGTCTACAGATATGTAAAAATAATTATCTGCAATTTCTTCCTTAATATTAATTAACACCGACGAGTATAGCCCGTTCACATTATTTCTTCTTAGAGACCGATCACTTGGAACATTAAGTTTGCAATATTTTTTTAGAAACGAACTAAAATTTACATTTGCTAATTTTGAAAGCGGTATGTTTGCAGACACTAATGCGCGACACAAGTCTTCATTAAAAGTTTCTTGCTCATCTAATTTTTTTGAAGTAGATTGGAAACATTTAGCCATTGAAGTTTGATGTTTTCCTCCTATTTTTCCTTTTTTTGCAATGTGTGAAGCAGTTCTCACATGTTGGTCTATCTGAAATTTCTTCTCACATGCTATCTATAAATAAAAATAAAAACCTTTATTTTAACCCAACCTTTATATAAATATAAGGTGTTTTTGGTTAATCAAATAACTGGTTTGGAAAAAAAACACTCGCTAAGTGTTTTAAATGCAGTATTAATCCACAAATTAGTTTTTGTTACTAACCATTAGTACATCATATAACTTATTTTAAAATTGAACAAAGTTTTTTTTTTGTTAATTCAATTACAATAAAAATAATTGTGTTTTAGAATAGCTGACTTCATAAAAAAAAGTAAAGGTGAAAAATTTTTCTAAATACACACCATTGTATTGTACCATGGACAATTTTTTCTCACTAAAGGAAGCTATTTTTCATTTAAAAACAACCTACGAGTACTAAATTTCAAGTAAATACGTTTATTGGTTTTAAAGTTATTGTTGTTATTAACTAAAAGAATTTAATTTTTTTTAATTTTAACACCCTGTATCTCGAAAAGTAAATAAGTTTGACCCCTCATTAACTATATCGTTTTGTTCAATTTTTCGAGAAGTATCTACAGTCAAACGTTGTAAGTGTCATTTGGAAACACCCTGTATGTATGAAATATTAGATATTTAATAGAAAATATTAGATACTTACAATTTTGCCACAGACTGAACAGTAGATTTTTCCATATCATAGACAGCTCTTTATAAGGTTTAATCCAAGTTGAAGCACTGGTTGTTTTAGGCATTATAAAATCACAATCTTCCTTTTTGTTACACACAACGAGTGTTTACGCTTTGATTATCAAAACAAAAGTGATTTACAAATCTGAGCATCAAATTAGAAATGTTTAGGTACCTAATTCAATAAACTGGGAGATTTTGGAAAATCCCTAAATTAGGAACAAAACTATTAGCCGTTTACCTGCTGTTAAGATACAATAAATTGTAGATAGATTTGGGGATTAGATCATAAAATGCAAATGAGCGAACCCTTAGCGATTATCCAATAACTGAATGCCTCAGTGACCGAGACTTTCTAAGAATGTTGAGGGCTACTTAAATTGATCTTCTTTGAAATTGTAAATGTTTTGTACCTGTAGAGATTACGTACTTAGATCATTTCTTGATTAAAATGACTACAAAATTTTATACAAGAATTGAAATAAATTGGTATGTTTAAAAATTTTCAAATACAGTATAAAAATCTGAACTTTTATGCACTTTATGCAAACTTTTATACAAATATGCCAAAATATGAAATATTTGCATAAAATATGCACAATATGCAAAATATGCAATATGCATATTTGCCGAAGTCTACTAATCACTAAGAAAAATTTCAATGAATACTTTTGACTTACCTTCACAATTTTTTCCATCAGAATGTAGCTCATATCCAATCTTGCACGTACATATATAGCTTCCTAACGTATTGACGCACTGTTGCGCACATCCATGGTCAATTCTAGAACATTCATCGTACTCTTTCATAATAATGGCAGAAAATCCAGTTTTTTGAACAGATCCATCCGATACAAACTTAACAAACATTTGATTGGATGATGCAATTACATCTGCAGGAACTTTGGGTCCACAATGAACCTTTAGGATCGGACTATCAGGAGTTAAGCCATCTCTGATTTCTACGTAGTCATAAACACAGCTGTCATGGTTTTCTACATCAAAAGACTGGAATCTTAGAGCAACTTGATGGTTTTTAGGAACCGTGATTTTCCAAATGCATTCTTTGTTTGGCTGGTAATCCTCTGGATAGTTGGGAGATTCCAAATGACCTTCAGTCTCAATAACAAGATTTCCACCACATATAGCTGCAAAACTATACTATATATATTATTTGATATATTGCACATGACAATAAATTAGCATTTGGTGCTAGAACATTCAGAATATTAATACAATTAAACATTAATATTTTCTTAATCTGTTTGTTTATAAATTTTTTGTTTAAAATAAACCCCAAATTACAAAATAAATTCTTTATTTATTATTGTTAATTTCAGTTAAAAAAATTTAATTGAAAAACTACCTAAAAGAAACAGAAAAATATAATTGAAACTCATTTGTCCCATATATACTGACAATTTGAACTAGAAATTGTAACACTTTCTTAACACTAGTATATAAGTTTAATTTTTGGAAACATTTCTCAAAAAATTATTTTAATTAGCAGTGCTAATTAAAATCCCATTATACCGCCCTGGGAGGTTCATACCACTTGACAATGCATAGGTACCTTTTAAATTATTACGAGAAGATTGAATTAATCATTTTTGGTGGATAAAAAGGAATTTGTTGATCATTAAAAAATAATTCTAGATTTAGCGTAACAATAAATAAACATAAAATTACCTTCATAACTTGCAGTAAAACCTTTGTGCCCTTTGGGATTTTTTGAAACATAAGTGATTAACATACGGCTTCCAGATGATTTGATAAGTGGAAACTGTCCCGTTCCACAAAACAAACCTAGGATGGGTGATTTATGCCAATATCCATCTCGAATTTCTATATAATCGGTTTTACATTCATTAGATTTTGCTATATCGAGATTGGTTATATTGAGTACAATTTTTTCTCCATGTGTTCCAGTAATTCTCCATTCGCAACGTACTTCGTCTTTAGGGGCACTTTCCATGTACACTGGCGGCGAAAATGTAGCAGAATTGGTTTGGTAAGTCCTCCCACATTCTAAAGTAAACATATAGTTAGGTAGGTTATAGAATAATAATGAAGCCTTACAATTGAATTATGTTAAATGTGTGACTAGTTTCTGAGTCAACAATTTGCACTGCATCCTCAGCTCGATAAGAATAGATCCAACTAATATCAGTACTACAGTACATTCAACCAACTTACACCTCTAAACGATTAATGGAATTCTGACTGTAGTTCTCCATAATAATAATCTTAATTACTTACTTTGTTTAGAATATTTTTGCCTGTATTATCAGTTAATTTGTATAAAATGAGGAGCAACAATTTAAATGGAATTTGAAATATTATTGTGTGTGTGTGTGTGTGTGGCTTGGGATATTGACTGCGAAACCATTGTTTCATTCACCTAATCATGTTTGACTTTGATTCTTGACAATGATTAAAATAAAATCTATTAATAATTAAAATTTACCTTATTAACATTTTAAAAACAATATAACTACGGTAAAAAATCTACATTATACAATTGGTGAACTTATGTACAAAAATATATATATATTTTTTATTTTTTTACAATTTTATACAATTTTATATACAATTTTCTAGTAGTAGGTATCTAGTCTTGTATCCATACATCCAGTGCCCAGTGATTATTTATCCAGTATTATCCAGTTCCGCATTTTTAATTAAAAATTTTTTTTTTAATATTTTCAGTATTTTTTATGTATTTCTTTTTATTACTATTGTTTAATATATATTTTTTTATTGATAAAATGCTTTTTTATATTTTGTCTTATGTCTTCTTTTTTGTTTTTTTTTTTGTTTTTTTTATTTATGTACAAGTTTTGGTATACATTGGTCTTTATAAACTATTGTTTCATATTCTTATTTTTAAACTGCTTCTGTATTGATATAGCAACTTATAAACTTCTAAATTGTTAGAAACTATTAACCCATAAAGGTTTATGGGTTTTACTAAAGTTTTTATTTTCATAATGGTTTCCATAAAAAAATTGGTCTTTATTCTATTTTTACTACAATTTAATATCATATGTTCTAGTGTGCCATATTATCCACACTCGCAGTTTGGGGAATTTACAATTTTTAATTTTAATAAGTGAGATGGTGCTAGGGAATGATTGAATCGAATTCTACAAATAATTCTAATTGCATCATTTTTTGTTATAAAATTTACAGAACCATGGTTTGGTAGGAATTTTCGGCTAAATACCTTTATAAAGAAGTCCCTTGGTGAAGAACAGAAAAATAATGAAAGAAATGATAGAAGAAATAAGAGAGAAAGGGGAGGTAATGGGGCTAAGATTAAATCAAGAAAAGACAAAAATATTAAGATTAGGGAAAAAACCAATGAAAGAAAAAATCAAAATAGGAAGTTCTGAGTTTGAAGAAGTAGAATACTTCAAATACCTAGGAGTTACAATAAGTAAATCCGGAAAAAGAAAATCCGAAATAAAAGAAAAAATATTAGCAGCGAATAAAGCTTATTTTGCAAACAAAAGATTACTTAAAAGCAAAACACTGACTAAAAAAGTAAGATGAGCATTTATAACACCATAATTAGGCCAATATTATTATATGCAGGAGAAACAATGACGATGGTTAAAAAAGATGAAGAAGACTTAAGAATGGCAGAGAGAAAGATTATGAGAACCATACTAGGACCAATCAGAACAGAGCAAAATGAATATAGAAGCAGAACAAATGCAGAAATTAAGAAAGAACTTAAGGAAGACATCGTAACTAAAATAAAGCAATGCAGAGTTAGATGGTTAGGTCACATTTGGCGAGCAGGCGATGAGGCAGTGACATACGCAATGATAGAATGGAATCCAGGAGGAAGAAAGAGAAGGGGAAGACCGAGATCAAAGTGGCTGCAAGAAGTTGAAGAAGACCTCCAAAGGGCAGGAGTCAGAGAATGGAGAGGAAGAACTAGAGACAGGAAAAAATGGAGAGATATTGTCAAGAAGATAAGATAAACAAAAAAGACTGATCCACTTAAGAAATAGGATCTAGAAAGCGGTTTAACCCCATACTGGGGTGTATAGCCATTATATATATATATATATATATTATATATATATATATATATTATATATATATATAATATATATATATATATATAATATAATATATATATATAATATATATATATATATATAATTGCATAATTAGGCAAATTTAGAAATTATAGCTACATATTTTTAGTAAAAATAATAACATATATATGCGCCATATTTTGTTAATGTTGTGTTGCATATTTCTGTTGAAATGGACTACCATACGAAGTTAGCGGTCGGCTTGGGAAATTGCAAGGTAGTCCTTGGCCTTAAGTGGACTATCAGAAGATTATGATGATGACGAACTCCAAATTATGACTAGTTAAAATAATAATTATAATATTAATAATATCCTTACTTGGACATTTATATAGAAGATTAGTTTGCGCAATATCCCCTTCGCTCAGTCGAACTCTCTGTCCGATTTCTGGCCTTTTTCGTCCGGGCACATCGATGGGTTGAATCGTGTCTAAGTAGGTTCCCTTTGAGAACGTATTTCTAGCGTAATGCATTATGGAATCATAATCGTAAGGTACCCCCAATGAATTCACTTCGTCCTCACTTAGTTTATTGAAATTATACTCTTGACCTGAAAACAAAATGTACTGTAATCAAACTAGTTAAGTAGTTAAAAGTTATTAAAATTAAAGTTATCAAGTCTACAAATCTTCACGGAGAATTTATGTAATAAAATGAATATTAAACGAAACTGTTAAGTTTCTCAATAAGAAACATTAAATATATATTAAATATATACTTAAATATAATAATGCAAATAAATAATGTTGTTTAAAATCTAAAAACTTATGCTCGAAGCATCAAAAATGTCGAATTTGTGTTTTTTAAATATACAAAAACACCTATACGCCTATTCTACAATATAAAAATTTCAAATTTGATGCTTGCAATGTTGCAAGACTTACCATTTTTCTGATATCATTAGTCATTAGATTTTTTTTTAAATACAACACCATTCAACCATATGTAACACTTGGTATTTTAGCTAGTCACGAAGGTCTTCAATAAATAAAACTTCTCAGTGCCAAATAGTTTTGAAGTTAGTCAGTAAATATATAATGCTGTGATTTTGAAATTTCATAATTCATAAAACTAACAATAGCTTTACGTTTATTGAAAAGTTTTGTAAAATAAAGTTTATTAATAACTAAAAAAACTGAGAAATGTAGATATAAACGCATTCTACCATCGTTTAGGATTCTGTCAAATTAAAAACGAAGGACATTTTGAACACTATTATGTCCATGGCAGGGATGCTTTGGTGTCTTTTCAAACCTATCTGAATAGTTAGTATACATCCTAGTATCTAGTTCATGATGGAGCAAAACTTATTCATCCTTAGCGTTTCTCGACGTTATCATAAAGAAAAACCAATCCCAAGGTTTTCATCACTCTGTTTATCGAAAACCCACCCATACCAATCGTTACTTGCATGCCAACTCTCATTATCTACCTTCAAAAACTAAGTCAGTCATTACTACCCTTGTCTTCAGATCAATACGCCTTTGCGATGATGCAAGTAGACCCGCTGAGCTCTTTAGTTTAAAACAAGTCCTCATCCAAAACGGTTACCTTACCGCGAAATTCACATCAATTGGAGCATCCACAGACATCAATCTCCCACTCAATCTAACCCAAACTCACACCCTCATCATACGAAAGTTTTTGCTTCCTTACATCAAAGATGTCACTGACAAAATCGACAAAATTCTTAAATCAAGAGGAATAAAGACCTTCAGGTCTCAAAGGAATTTCATCTCTTGTCCGTTCAATCAAAGACAACATTCCAAATAAACAACACGGAGCTGATGAAATTCCTTGTGCAGACTGCCCCCGATCTTATATAGGCTAAACAAATCATACAATCCAAAATAGGATTTATGAACATTCCATTTCTGTTTGCAATTCCGATGCAATTTCATTTCTAGGTCAACACCTTCTTCACACAGGTCACAAAATTGATTTTGAAAACTCCCAAACCATAGCCCTCATCCGCTTGTATAAACCAAGAATTATCCGAAAAACCGTAGAAATTGAAAAAGAGGTAAATTGTCTTAATAATAGAGGTGATTGCATACGGTTACCTTCGACATGGAGCTCTCTCATAAAGAAAATATCGTCCGCTCCACCCGCCAATCTAAATCCTACTTTCAGAAATGTTCACGCCACGCCAGAGCTAATCCCCCCGCCAATCACCACGCTAACCCCCACGCCAACTTTTACCCAAATTACGTCACCATCAACGGTATAAATGAATCGTCTTCTGTTTCCCGTACCAGTAATGCAATGGTTAGTGATCCGTGTAGTAATGTCTGGGGGCTCGGAAAACTAAGACAAAGACTGTTGAGTTTAATATTAATTCTTGTAATAGTATTAATCTTAGCTCTAGGTTTAATATATAATTTACCTGAAAATATATCAAAAAAGATGAAAAAACGTGGATATAAATATACAGGAAGCATACTTACCGCTCATGATGTTTTCTCTAATTATGTTAACATGCTTATCTCTATCTGGCCTCGTATGCTCGTGCCAAAAACCTACAACGTGGCCAAGTTCATGTACTATAATTCCAAATTTATCACAGTTTTTGCCTATACTAATCGCCTGACCTCCATTGCCTCTTTTGCCTACAAAAGAACAGCATCTAAAAAAGAGAAACATTTCTAAAAAATCAACATTTTTTTACTACGAACCAAAGTAGAACATAAGTTTAAATGCAACAAAAATGTGACTCTAATAGAACTGATGAATGAAGATTATCGAAAAGTTACCAACCACAAGCTCAGAACATCAAAAAACATACTAACATCGCAGAAATATAAAAAAGTATAAAAGAAGTAGCAAAGACAGTAACATATACTCAAAATATAGACGAGCCGATTCAAATAAAGTTGACAATACAGCAATTTACACACAGGTAATTGAAATCTACCATCATGGAAGAAATCGATCCAAAAAAATCTCCCGACTGGGACCTCATAATGAAGGAAGTCTTACAAAAGCTACCCAGTAAGGGTACAAGTTGAACTCTGCAGATATAAATTATATTCTAAGACTTAGTTATTTTCCACAACAATGAAAAGTAGCGGAAGTCATAAGGGTGCCGAAGCCAGGAAACAAATATCATATAGGTCAATCCGTCTATTGCCATCAAAGTATTTAAGAAATTGTTGTTAAAAAAACTTCAACCCACCCTGGAAAATAAAAAGATCATACCTGATTACCAGTTTGATTTCCGTCGTAAACATAGCACTATCCAACAGGTACATACAATTGTAAAATAAATGGACAACGATCTAGAAAATAGACGATACTGTTCCGCATCCTTTCTGGATATTAGTCAATCTTTTGATAAGGTCTGGCACACTGATCTATTCTATAAAATCAAAAAGCATGTACCTCATAGACTCTCTGGTGTACTGGAATCTTATCTAACTAACAGATACTTCCTAGTTAGACACCAAGAGGAATGCGCTGACTTGTACCTAGTTGAATCAGGTTTAACCCAAAGCAGTGTTGTTTGTCGTGGAAATTACCTACTATACACCATGGATTTCCCAGCAACACATTTAACGAAAGCAAGCGAAACCAAATCCACATAACCTTCACAATGAATGGTATAACGATTTAATAAACCAATGACGTAAAGTATGCATTTAGATCGACATATGACGTGGACAACACATATCTTTACAAAACGTAAATAATTAGAATTAAAACTGCACCAAATGTACTGGCTGATTGGTAGGAAATTCAGACTAAAAATAAAAAATTAACTCCTAATCTACAAATCAAACCTACAGCCGGTATGGACATACGAAATAGAACTCTGGGGTGATGCTAGCTGCATGAAACCACATCTGAAGTGCTTCGCTTAAAACGATTCAAATCAACGAACTTGCGTATAGAATTAGTTAGATAATAATAATATGCTCAATAATAGTACAGAAAACTAATATTAAACGTATTTTCTCGTTAAAGAAAACTCCTACATGCCTCTAACAATATTCGTCAAAAAAAATCCTTGTTGTTCCTATGCTAACAACAGATTGCAAACAAGGTAGAGACAAAAAAGAAGACAGGTATTTGAGAAAAGAAATAATAAAATAAAAATAGTAGACCTGCTTACACTTAGAAATAATCTAGGAAGAAAGAGAACTGTGGAATCTTGCACAATCTGGAGAAAACTGATATAAATCTAAACCGAATAAGCCAACGGAAATATTTATTTACGGCAATGTATAAATAACCTGCGATATGCTGATGACACTGTCATACTGGCAGATAATGCTGAAGCCCTGCAACGCTTAATGGACCGAGTAACGACAGCCTGTAGAGAATTTGGAATGAAATTGAATACAAAGAAGACAAAAACGATGGTCATCAGCAAGCACCAAAACAGAAGGGTGAAGGTCAATGTCGACGGAACAGATCTGGAAAGAGTAACAAGAACAACGTACCTTGGAAGTAATCTTGATGAAACTTGGGACCACTCACTAGAGATAAGAATACGCCTGGAAAAGGCACGTACAATGTTTTACAAAATGCAAAAAGTTCTATGCAACCGCCAGCTGGGCATCTCATTGAGAACTAGAATACTTAAGTGCTATGTTTTCTCCACCTTGCTCTATGGTGTTGAAGCCTGGACAATGACAGAAGCAACACAAAAAAGAATCCAAGCATCCGAACTCTGGTGTTACCGTAAAATGCTCAGAATATCCTACATGAGCCATACGACAAATGCGGAAGTCTTGCGGAGGATGAATAAGGAAAGAGAGCTTATGCTTATAATAAAAGAACGGAAAACACAATATTTTGGTCACATCATAAGAAATCAAAAGTATGAACTGCTCCAACTTATAATCGAAGGCAAAGTCGATAGCAAAAGGGGATCAGGAAGAAGACGCAACTCTTGGCTTAAAAACCTACGGCAATGGACGAACATGACCTCCATAGAACTATTCAGGGCTGCTACAAAAAGATTAAATGGGTAAATGTAATGGCCAACGTCCTTAAGGATAAGGTACCGTAAGAAGAAATATTTATGATTTCACCACCCTTGTTTTGTGTGGATTTTCTTTGGTCCACGTTCTAGCAGCTGTTTTTGTCTTTTTACTGATCTTCGTCTGCTGAGCTCTAGATAGGGGTTTTCGTTATTTGAGTCTGTTTCTCTCGGGACATTCTCGGGTTCAATATTTGGAGCGGAGACACAGAGTCTGCGACTGGGGTCGCCTCTTATTATCTCTCGTCTCTTATTATCTCGTTGTTCATCTTTGTTCCCACGAGTTAGGACGAAGAGTTCTGCAGCTCTCTAGGGCATCGCTTAAGTAAACACTTTTTTCCTGTACCATGCATCCCCCAGGCACGATGGTGTTACCGTTTGGGTGGTGCTGTTCAATTTATTTAAAAGAAAGAAAATAAAGCGTTTGGCTCTTTAAAAATATAGACTTAGTAACAGTTAATTTTCAAGGTCTATTTGGTAGTTTTTAATTTACAGAAATACATATTTAAAAAATCCTTCCACAAAACTAGGAGAAATAAAAAAATCTACAGAAAAACTTATTAAACTAATAATTAAACGCATTTTAAAAAGACAAATAATTAATTATGAAACCAAGAGCTCCAAAACATTATTCTGGTTTCTTTCGTCAATCAGTTAAAATTGCAAGATTTATCTAATTAGAAACAAGTACCTGCTAGTGTTAGATTTATTTTGTTTAAAACATTAAATTACAATAATATATGTACATACATTGTTTTATGTACAGCAGATACATCTTGCAACGCAAGTGTTGACTACTTCATAATGTCTACCACGTTTATTCAGAGACACGTGTTGGGATACAAGCTTTATTATGATAATTAGATGATATATTAACATAAACAATATACATTTTTATTACTAAATAATGCAATAATTAGTTTGTGTGATTTATAATAATAAAATAAATGGGAATATAATAAATTTATTAAAAAACTATTTATACCAGAGCCGTGAGACGTTATCGATGCGTCAAAAGTATAGGTCGCATATATATATATATTATATATATATATATATATTATATATATATATATATATATTATATATATATCATCGTCCTCAGCGAATTTTACCGATATGGTGCAGCCTACCTTATATAATCTTTCTTCATTTCTGCCCACGATTGTCCAATACATATCGGCCTCCACTCAAGCAATCTCTTCGTCCACCTTTCATCACTGATTCAGTCTGGCCCAGTTCCATTTCAGTGTGGAAATTCGGGAAATTACATTGGCAACTCCTGTTCTTCGTCTTAAGCCTTCATTTCTAACTGGGTCACAAAGCGATATACTCAGCATTCACCTTTCCAGTTTTTTCTGCGTTATTTGCAGCGTTTTAGAAGTTTTAGCTGTTAATGTCAAAGTTTCAGCACCATGGGTCATCACAGGCAACACACATTGGTCACATGTTTTTACGTTTTAAAGAAATTGGTATATCGCTTTTAAAGATTTCTATGAGTTTTTCATAGGCTGCTCATGCTAGGTTTATTCTTCTTCGTAGTTCGCATGTTATGTTGTCTCTTATGATCTTTATTTCGTGTTCAATGTATATGTATTTTTCCACCAGCTCTACTTCGTTGTCTCCAATATTGATATTTCCGCTATGTACTAGGTTTGTCATGAATTTGGTTTTGGATATGTTTATTTTAAGACACACAGTGGCACACTCTAACTGAAGTTCATGTAGCATTGTACATGCCTCCTTGAGGTTGTTCGAGAATAAAACTATGTCGTCTGCGAATTTCAAATTTGTTAATCTTCTACCGTCAATGTTCAGCCTTTCTTCAAACAGTTTAGGCGATAGGGTATCACCCTGTTGGACTCCTTTGTCGATTGGGATATGATCGATAGTCTTGTCTATTACAGTTAACAGTTTAGGCGATAGGTTATCACCCTATCGGACTCCTTAACCTATTACCGTTTTAATTGCTCTGTAGGAAGTCCCGCTTGCTCTATTGTCTGGTAGAAATCAAGTTTTCTCTCAAGACGATTCGTTACTATTCTTGTAAGGAGTTTGTATAGGTGACTAAGACTCCTAATTCATGGGATTTCCTTTTTTGTACAATAGAATTACCTCAGCATCGTGCGATTTGTCGAGTATATTACTGTTTAAAAGGCACATGTTAAAAAGGTTTTTTATTTTCTTAAGTAGGCCAGTTTCATTATTCTGTTGATTTCTGGGAGTAAGAAGCCAGATTTATGTATTAATTGTCCCAGGTATACATACTCGTCTACCGTCTCAACTACAGTGTTGTTTATAATTACATCTTGGACATCCACTAGCTCGTTTACACATGGCTTTTGTTTTTGTCAAGTTCATTTTTAGGTCAACTTTATTGTTAGATGCATTAAGGTCGCTTATCAGATATTGTACTTCTGCAGGATTATTATCAATTAAAACGATGTCGTGTGAAATCTTAGATGTCTGAGGTATTCTAAATCAATAGATAGGCTTTTGTTTTGTTAGTTCATTTTGCTGAATATATTTTCTAGAGTTGCAGTGAAGAGCTTTGGTGATATTATTATGTGAAGCACAAAGGAATGTGTGGAAAATTTTTAAAAACAAATAAAGCGTGATAATGCGTACATCCAATTATAAGGAGTACCTACATTTACAACACCAAGATTGAAAAAGAACGTGTACAAACAAAACAAGAATATTTGAAAATAGAAAGACAACCTAGCGAATGAATTATTGAAGTATGGCCTCACTGTTTTAGCTAAGACATTAACTATCTTATTTAATAAATAATACAAAGAGCAATGACACAAGATACATACGTGAGCATAATAATACCATTCTTTTAAAGGGGACATATTATGCCAGAAAATACAAAAGAATATCACTCCCAAACACATCTATGAAATATATTAAAAATAATAATTTCTAAGGCCTTTGTTTATTTTCAGGCTTTTTTGATGTCTTCAAAAATTTTTTATCTTCATCGCTAGAATCATCGTAAGTGGGAGCATAAACCTGAATTATATCGATTGCTAGATTCGCTAAATTCATCTGTAGCAAGTACACTCCGTCATAAATGAGTATAAAATTCTATATAGATCTCTTTATATTACGGCCTAGCAGGAATCACACTATTCCAGTAGTGCGTATCATATGCTCACAGGCCATGGCTGTTTTTCCGCAGCTACCTTTTCAGGTTTAGGAAGGATCAGTCCGATGAGTGCCTTTACTGTGGTCTCTCAGATACTGTGACACAAACGATGTTGGAGTGTGAGCGTTGGTCGGATAAAAAAGAGAAGTTTGAAAGAGACTGTAACTGCAAAATATTTGATCCCGTGAGAGAAATGGTGGAGAAAATGATGAGGGATGAGTGGTGGTGGACACGGCTCCACAAATTTATCCGGGAGCTGCTCTCTTCAAAAGAACGAGAGGAGGGGAACTCACAACAGAATTTTAAAACGAGCGAATAGCATCTCGGTGGTTCGGACGGTCGCAGGCCGAAATAGGAGCGAATGAGAGACAGACGAAGGCGAGGGGTTGAAAGTCTTTGGTGGTTCGTGTGGGTGTGGTTTTACTGATAAATCTGTGGCAGAAAGAATGGGAATCGGGTGATAGCAGGGCATCAGGAGATATATTTTGCCTTAACCAGCCTTTCCATCCTGATGTCTGGAGTGACAGAGGAGAGGTTTTTAGTTGGATTCTGACCGTCTTAGAGTGGTGATGAGACGAAGTGTCAAAGGTCTAACTCCCTCGGGCATCTCGTCCTGGCACAACTTCGTTAGAGTATTAGGAACCCAACACTACCTGGGTGAGCCACAGGTGTCTGTATGCAGATTTTTCTTCTTCTCTTTAAAGATAAACAAGAGTATCGATTATCACAATTAGGCGAATAGTAAAGAGTTTGGGAGATAACATGTCCCGTTCCTCTTTTGATTTTTATACATATATTTTGTATCATTGTGTAGTCTTACAATCATGTATGTGTGTGTGGTTGGAAATATGACTGCGGATTACTAGAGGCATTCGCGTAACCAATAATCTTACGGCCATGTTTGGATTATTGTATATGTTTGCGATCAGTTTGGAGTACCGATAATCTATACGACTTTTCTTCCAACGCTCTTATTACTCTGTTAATTTTCTATCGTATCGACTGCTTTGCGAAATCTACGAAATCCAGAACTAATGGTCGGTTGTATTCCAGGGATTTTTCTATAATCCCTTTTATACAGTGGAGGTGGTCGTTAGTACCAAAGTTTTTCCTAAAACCCGCTGTTCCCTAGGTAGGTTAAAACTAAATTTTGCTTCCAGTCTATTTGTTATTATTTTTGTGAATAACGTGTAGTTGTAGGTGGTTTAACAAGCTTATAGGTCGAAAATTCTAGAGGTCTGTTGGACCGATCTTCTTGTTCAATATGCAATGATAAGTACACTGTATGTGTTTCATTTTAGTGCAGCCATGAGTTAAATAGTTCTTTTATATTCTCTGAAAGTCTGTTTCCTCAAATCTTTGCGACTTCTATAACGATGTTATCTTCTCTCGAAACTTTATTTCTTTTCATTTGATTCAGTCCATTTCTTATTTTGTCTGTTGATATATTAGGATACATTCTGATCCTTAGTTGAATAATCTTGTTCCTGTATTTTCTAACTTTTCTGTTAGTTTCTCATCATAGTTTTGTTTACGTTCTGTATACGTAATTTTGTATAGAAATCTTCTACTACCATTAGTAATAATTTATCTCTGTTGGTGATAATATTTCCATCTTTAATTTCGTTATTTTTTTGCCATTTGTTAATTTTCAGAACTTCGAGGCTCTTGTTATCTTCAATCGTTTCATGGTGTTTTTTGCTTCTATTACTTTGCATTTTTCTCTTCTCTTCCATTAATGTGCTTGAGGACTTTCCTCTATAGCTTCTATTATAATGCCATTCAGGCTGTTAACATTTATGTCTGTATTCTTATTGCTTTCAAGAATGCTGTTGATGTATTTTTTAAATGCATTTATATCATTAGACTCTGTCCAGTTAAATGTAGGCTTCTTTTGGACCAAGCTCTCTTGATCTTCCTCTCTCCTAAGGTCTATTTCTATCGAAGTTTTTACCATTCTGTGGTCGCTACCTATTAAAAACTGGTTTAGGACTGTAACAGTTCTAGAGATTTGTTTCTTGTGTAATCATAAAATCGACCTCATTCCTAGTTTTTCCTTTCCTCTAATGTTATTTTTTGTAGAAGAATTTAATCATTTGGAATAGATTTTTTTCTAGTAGGAAACTAAATAAAGTTTCACCACGCTCCTTCCTATTTTCCATCTTATTGGGATGTCTTTATTTACTCTTAATTTAGTAGTTTCTTGTCCTTGTCATCTGCATCTCTATGTCGTTGAACTTTAAAGCAGTTTGATCCTCCTTAAAGTAAGGTATTGTCCTCTCCTCCATCTGAGGGGATTAAAAATTGTCTGCACAGAAACCAATTCTATTGTCATTAATTATCTTTTATCATCTTCTTAAATATAATAAATAATAATATTTGTTTTCATGTTCATTTTTGTTGGATTGAAAGTTTTTAGTTTTATTTGAATTTCAAATTTACAAATCTCATATTTAATTCTAATATGGCCACCCAGTACAGTCGTTTAGTTATCTATTATAAGATATAAGTATGTGTTGATATGGGACTAATTGGACTAAAATATATAATATATTTAACATAAGTATTGAGGTCATGGCTGATCATAAAAATTTCGCAATCATTCAGATCCAAAATGTCAAAAAACAGATTTATTTAAACTAACATAAAAGTTCAGTATGTCAAAATGTCAAGTTTTCAATGTTTTAATATCCTTCCTATTATTCCAAGGGTATTCCAAGGAATTTAGAACTTTTGAATTTAGAACCTTTTAAGCTAATATTACTCACTCTTTTTGATTCAAAATTCATACAAAAGAATCATTAGAGGGAAATATATTGGTAAACATATCTATTGAATTAAAATTTTCGATAATAGAATAGCTTGTCCTGAAACTTTTGTCAATTTAATAGTGTGAACATTCTCGCTTGGTATTTAAAAAATAGCCATCAGTAAATTGTAGATTTCAAAGAAGTTATTTGACTCTGTAGACCTTTCCATACCGTGACTTTGAAAGATTATTTTTATTTCTATGTACCTAAACCTATTTTCCACTCGCCCACCTATACCCCAGTTAATGAAAAAAAAAGCTAAAAAAATCTTATACAGATATTTGAAGGTTCTAAAAGGTATATTAGGGGAAGCTGATGAAAAATCCATGAAGACCCTGATTTTTAAAACTGAGACTTGCAAATTAAAGAACATTTTAAGATCTACAATTTTTATTTATACCATTTTTCTCTAACCTGCAAGAGAAACGTTTTATAGGCAAAAAATGACTTTTTCACTTTTTAAGATTGTTTAAAACAAAAACAAAGCCAAATCAGTTGTAAGTCTTCACGAATTTTTCATCAGCTACTCCTCATATACCTTTTAAAACCTTCAAATAATATCTGTGTAAGATTTTTACGTAAAATCAATGATTTTTCCCAGATAGACTGGTGTACTATATTCACGCTCACCCATTGGTCCTTTATCTGTCCTTGTTGAGCTGCATCGAGATTTTTCTGACTCTAGTAGGGTTAGTAAAGTACCGTCTGTAATAAGATAAAGTTCTATAACGGGTTCAGAGACCCGAGTTAGGAGTTACTGAGATAGAGTACTGAGCTGTTTCCAGATCAGTACTCCGAATCAAACTCTCTCTGTCGTGGTGCCATAAAATGGGACCATATATCATTAACGGTCACAAAAACTATGAAAAAACGTTGTCTTTAAGTAATAAAAGGAATGAAAATTGCAAAATATATTTGAATATTTTTTAAAAATTAATCTCTCAGCAGGAAAATAATTTAACTAGAAAATTAAAAACTACTTACCCACATGGCTTTTCTGTAAATATAATATAATTCTGGTGTTCGTCTCTATTTCTCTCGACAAATTTGACACAAGTGAAATTTTCCCAGTGCCTCATTGCTTGTTTAAATAGAGCTTTATGAAGACCACTAAAATTTCCATCAATTTCATAGGGTATTACTCCGTAATCCCATATTCTTTCTTTTCGTGCAGTTGCGGCTCTTATGATTCTGTAATGACGTTTTTCATAGCTGGCAGTGTTTTTTCTTTTTAAATCAAAATTTGGTTCAAACTCGTGAACTGGAGATTCCGTTAAATATTTATTGCTGTTAACATTTCTTCTTCTCCTAAAAAAGAGTATCAAATGATACTATTTAAACATTTTTGTACATTTTTTAATAATGAAATGTGTTGGTGTTATAAGTGCTCGTCAGAATTCCTAAACTCCATTCCTTTCTGAAGGCTGAACACAGTCGGCAATAAACTTCCTGAGGAGAACTCAGGAATGGATTACATTAATCCAAAGTACACGATGGTATTAGTTTTGTGTAATTTTCAAATTTCATTATAAAGATAGTTTTCTTATTTGAATGAATTGTCTTAATTAAAACAATATGAATTAACAACAAGAGAAAAAAAAATGACACGGTTTGGACTCTTTCTTATGGCCAGAAAGGTATATAGAAAAACAAAAATACTTTCTTATCCAATATTCTTGGAGAAAGGAACGAAAGAGGGTAGAGACTAATACAGTTCTACCTTCTAACTGTATTATAGCAAATACTTTGTTTCAACAACCTAAAAGACGACTATATACCTGGAAATCTCCAGCTGATCAAGAAGGAAAGGTAGTCAGAAATCAAATCTACTACATTATCATTAACAGAAGGTTTAGAAACAGTATTACATATGCAAAAACATTCCCAAGTGCAGACGCAGCAACTAATCATAATCTGCTTTGTGCTGAATTCAAACTAAAATTAAAAATAATAAAAATCCCGACAGCTCAAAACAAAACATATTAATTGACTCCTAAGAAATGCCGTAATAGCAGATGAGTTCGGAAATAAGATAAATCATGGAATTAAAAAACTGCTAGAAAGATCTGAACAAGAAAATATCGGACAAAATATAGATATAATGAATTCCGCCATGGTTACCATAGAAAACGAAGTTTTAAACTCGCCAGTAAAGAAAAAGAGCCAGTAAACAAAAAGGATTGAATGACCGATAACATACTAGACCTTATTCAGCAAAGAAGAAATTGTAAAAATAAAGATGAGACTCGATATAGAGAAATATATCGACAAATAAGATACGAGGTTAAACGAGCAAAAGAGGACTGGATGGAACAGAAATGTCGTAAGATGGAAAGAACTACAAAGAAAACATGACGAGTTTAATATACACAAAAAACTTAAAGAAATTACCTACACTCAGAGAAAAAGAACTCCTCACTTATCGAGAAACTCCAAAGGTAAAATTATTCTCGACTTAAACGAAACAAAGGAAGAATGGACCAACTACATAAAAGAGCTCTTCCTGGATACAAGGCCACCACTTAACGCCACAAAGTATACGAATACTGGTCCTAGTATTTTAAAAGCCGAAGTAGAGAAATATTTCAAACAAAGCAAAAATGGGAAATCTCCAGGCCCTGACCAAATACCATCAGACTGTTTATATATGGTTGGAGTCTACATTTAGCCCACTTCCAAAAAAACCTAATACATCATCATGTAAAGACTTTAGACTAATTAGTCTCATGAGGCACTCTCTCAAGCTACTTCTTAGGATAATTATTAATAGAATCAAGCAGAAATGTACCTAAAGACACAATGGGAAAAAACAATTCGGTTTCAGAGAAGGATTGGGAACAAGGGAAGCTTCGTTCTCAATGCTAACACTACTTCAACGATCATGGGAAGTACAGAAACCAATTTACGTCTGTTTTATAGATTTTGAGAAGCCGTTTGATAGGGTTCAACATGGTAGGCTGTTTGAATATCTGGAAACAATTGGAATAGATGATAAAGATCTGAGACTTTTACAACATCTATATTGGAATCAAGAAGCTTCTATTCTGGTAGACGGCAAAGAAACAGAGAAAATTTGAATTCAAGGAGGTGTTAGACAGGGTTGTGTGTTATCCCCAACTTTGTTTAACGTTTACTTATAAATTATTTTTAACAAAGCCTTGGAAGGGCAATGTGGAGTTCGATTCGGGGGAGAAACTATTAATAACATCAGATATGCAGATGACACCGCAATTATGGCTGAAAGTATCGAAGATCTTCAATTCCTTATAGATTGAGTCACTAGAGAATGTTTAATAACGGACTAAGCATAAATACAACAAAGACAAAGTTACTTGTGGTTAGTAAAAAAGACCTCGGTGCTATACAACTAATTGTCAATAATGAACCGATAACAAAAGTTAACCATTTTAAATATCTAGGATGTTGGATAAACGAGACACTAAATCCAGATGAAGAAATTAAAACTCATATAGAAATTGCAAGAGGAGCATTTATGAAACTTAGATCCATTCTCAGCAATTCTCAGCTGAACTTACAGCTGAGAATTAAGTTCCTAAAATGTTATGTGTATCCTGTATTACTGTATGGATGTGAAACCTGGATTATGAAGGTTAACATGATAAACAAATTAGAAGCCTTCGAGATGTGGTTATATCGTAGAATGCTCAGAATATCATGGGTTCAACACATTTCAAACAGAGAAGTCTTGAACAGAGTAGGTCAAGGTGAAGGTGACTTAATAAAGATGATAAAACAGAGAAAACTCGAATATCTGGGACATATAATGAGAGGAAGCAGATACAGGATAATGCAGTTGATACTCAACGGAAAGATCGACGGAAGAAGAGGAATTGGTAGAAAGAAATATTCTTGGCTCCGAAACCTTCGTCAATGGACTGGCTTATCAGCAGATGAATTATTACATGCCGCGCAAGATCGAGAACGATATCGGCAAATCGTCATGGAATCTACCCACGCCTAAAACTTGGGCACGGTACTCAAAGAAGAAGAAGAATCCAATATTCTTGTTTAACTATCCAAATAAATAAAAAATTCAAAAATTCACAAATTATAAAGCTATAAAATTTCTCGGCCATCTACGAAAATGGAAGATAGTAATTGATAGATGAATAAGTCAATGAAGATATACAACTTCTAAGTATTATTAAAATACGTAAAATAAGTTTTTTTAAATATATTTACAGAGAAGGGACATAAATACAACATTCTACCTCCAGTAATGAGGAGTACGATTAGAAAAATAATGGGCATTTAAAGAGGAAAATACTCGTGGCTAAAAATATGATAGATTCGACATGAATGGATTAGCATCGACAAGTAAGACTGTGTAAAGATTTTTTTATAGAAGTTCGACTCAAACTTTTGTAATAACTAAAAGATTAGAACGCGAAAATAATAGCAACGTTGTTTTATGTCTGTAGATTTATTATTAACCGGTGTTAACTTACCTTACGGGTATCACCCTTTCTTCTCCTATTGCTATATCACCTAAAAATGGACCTGAAACCAAAAAAACAATAAAGAAGTAATATTGCCCTCTAATACAGGAGTAAAAAAAATAATTATAAAAAGAAAAACTATATAACTTATTAGTCTAAAACATTCAGTAATGGACATTAGGAGAAAGATTGAATCCAGTTTTATCGTCTCTTTTATTGCAAACAAGAAAACAAAAACGGCGTCGTCTGATCCAAATTGAATGGCTATGAATAAGATCTACTGCCCCAGACAACAATATATCTAATAAAATCATTTTTTTCGAATTTAGGGAGACAAGAAATTGCCTAGAATATTGAAGTAAGCGACTGAATGAGCTAGAAGAAGAGCTGAAACATCTAAAATGGAACACTATAACACTATCGTAGGTAAAAGGGAAAATTTAGATGTAGTTTATGGTAAAAAAAATGAAAACATCAAAGCTAGATGACTAATTTAACCAGTGTATAGACGAATAATATATAACGTAAGCCCAACGAGCACACACCAATATCTTGTAAATTTAGTAGAAAATATTGGATTAAAACTAGTGTTCCCAATCAAATTTCTAAGAATAAGTGCTACAAATCTTGAATACCAATACATAGTTAAAGATGAATAGCTTTAGAAGACAGGTTTATATCGCACCTCTTAAAAATATGCCTTTGATCGAAAAAGTATGCAAAACAAAAATGAAGTTAAAGTACGCTTAAAATTACCTTTCAAATAGCTAAGCATACATATATCAAAACTTGAAAATTAACCGACTTATTGAAGAAAAACTATTGATATTTTTGGAAGATAATTTTGTAGCTGAAAAATATATGTCTTTTGGAACTCTCACATATCTAAAGTACGCATAATAGTTTTGCAGATGAATCTCTCGGCACCAACAAATTAATAATCGTATTAATTAAACATCGTATTTTTATTACCATAGGGGTAGTTTCTAAGGGTTAAAAAAGCGCAACCAAAGAAATAATGCTTGATAAGCAGGAACAAATTTTTATTGATTTAAATACATTAGTTTAGAATTTAAATATGTATAAACACTATTTTTAACGTTTATACTCGTCTTTTGGGGCGATTTTCAGGGGTTGAAGAGTTTTAACTGAAGAAAAATCGTTTAAACATAAGAAAGGAGTTAATTTTTAATGATCTAAATGGAAAATTAAAACATCAAAAAAATATTTTTTGCATAAAGTTGGTAAAACATCTCCAAAAAGTGACTGCGATTAATCTAAATCGCCCATTCTGATATCGAACCTAAAATACTTTCCTCAACTCGCAAATGTTCTTACTACAGATAAAAATTAAATACAAAATGCCTCTTACTTAATAAAACGAACAGTTGAAGATATGTCTTCTGCTATCGCTCTCCGTAAAAAGCTCTAAAAAAAACCAAAACCAAATCTTTATCGATTACCACTCCCCATTTCTCAGCTAGCAGTTTAAATGGCTTTTAGAAAATACAAGATCAAAATATGTCCTAAGTATTGATGACAATTTCACTAATGATTTTCTAAAGCTAATAGAAATGGTAAAAAACTTCGTTGTCGCATATACGTCAAGAAAGCAAGTATATTTTGCACCAACTTAGAAAACAAATTATTACAATGATCTGAAGAGCTTAAAGTAAAACTAATCCGATATATCAATCCTAAAATCTGGATACCTAAAGTATATACTTCAAAACCTCCTCAATCCTCCTTCCGTTAGTTACGATACCGCATTAGAGTCATTATATCCTATGACCTACAGCTCAATTCGAGTCCTGGCCTCCCTCAGCAAATCGTTCCATTCGTTACGTTCTGGAGCCATTCTCCTCCATGATAATACTACCATGTAGATTTCTTGCGCTCTCATTCATATCATCCTCTCATCACTTTCTCGGTCTCTCAATAGGTCTCTTCCCCCGCATTCTTGCATTCAACAGTTTTTCTGGAAGCCTGATTTCTTCCATCCTTAATACATGCTGTCTCATTTTTGAGTCAATACCCAAGTTTTACATCCATAGCTCACTATCGGATTATGGTCTTGTAGCTTCGTATCTTATTTCTTTGATGTACGTATCGTGATTTAAATATTTTTTTTTATACCAAAGTATGCCGTATTAGCTTGGATGATTTTTCTGCTAAGCTCTGCATCGTCAATGATGTTTTTGTGATGTTGGCTTCTAAATAGATAAAGCTACCTACTTTTCTAAGTTGTCAACTGTCAAGTAGGGCCGTGTTGCTCTCTTCGAACAAATTTGTATTAGGATTTTCGTCTTTTTTTGTTTATGGACAGATCTATTTGTTTAGCATGTGATTTGCTTTAGTTCTACTCATGATAATTATGTTATCTGCTCATGCTGCCAGTTGGAATGGTTTATTAAGTTTTTACCTTCTTATGTTTTCTTAACTACGTATTCCAGTAATAAGTTAAACAGTCTTAATGCCAGCCCATCACCTTATTTTAATCCTTGTGTTATTTGAAATGGGTCTGTCATTTTGACCCATCATCCACTGACTTTTCCTCATCCTCCTGATATTCTTCAATAATCTTCTCTACGAGGGGTTGTAGTCTATGGTTAGGTATAACGGAAAATATTTTATATCCACAACACAGCAAGGAGATTCCTGTATAGTTTTGATAGACTTTATCGTCCTTTTTATGTATTGGGCAGATAATACTCTTATTCCACTCTTTTTGACATTTTGTGTTGACTCCAAATTCTGTGTATGACCTCAAATATCCTTTTCGTTATTTCCTTTCCTCCCAACGTGAAAAATTCTGTAAGTATTTCATTACATCCAGGGCCTTGTTATTTTTCCGCAATTTGATTGCTCTTTCAAACTCTTCTATCTTTGGCGGCTTTGCTATATCAGTCTTTTCATTTCTTGCTTTTTTCAATAGTTCTTTTTCTATGCGTTCCAGATCATCATAGTAAGAGTTTTTGTCAGCAGGTTTGCAAAATATGTTTTCCAAATTTCTTTAATTTTCCTTTATGTTGAGAAAGAGAAGAGATATACTATTTACGAAATGCAATTAAGAAATCTACATATCCATAAAATAAAAAAAATAAATAAAAAGAAGAACCAAGTTAAAAAGTTGGCAAAGCTATAAAACAAAAGAAGAATATAAAATGTTTACAATAACCGCTAAGAAAATAAAGATTAACGGTATAACCAATAAAAATAGAATGGAAAGAAATGACAAAAGAAATTATAAAAGTCGAAAAATCCTAAAATAATTATAAATAAAATTAAAAAACCTCAGCTTGGACCTACAACCGAAATTCGTAAACGTGAAATAACGAAAATCGCTGAAAGAAACGAAGAATAACAAATCACCAGAAAAAGATGGCATAATCGTGAAGACATTGAAGTATGGAAGAAAGAAGGCTAGCTTGGCATCATGGATATAGATGTTTATCAAGGACAACATAGAAAAAAGAATAAAAACAACGATCTATAGAAAAACAAATGCTGAATATCAAACTATCAGAATTCGTAATAAACCTAAATTAAAAGGTTTCTCTACTCAAATTTTATATATTAGTATATCTAGCTTTTATTACTGTTAATTGTGTTATTTTTATTGTTGTTTGCTTAGTTGTGTCGATATAAATTGTTTTAAGTATTTTTTTTATCTTATTTTATCTCACTTTACTTATTTAGCTACTAAAAAAATGCCTCGGAATAATTCGAATGAGATGAATTTAAATTTATGTATATTCCACGTCATTATATGGAAGGTATGTTGATCCGACGATTATCCTCTTCATACTCTTCCTCCCTATTCTGAGCTGTATTTAGGCATTTGTTCATAGTTGGCTCTTAGCTATTGAAGCATGACTACAGAAATTTTCACTATTTAAAAACAATCATCGCGACTTAAATCAAGAAAACTTAATATTTTGAGAATTTTTGAGATCTGATTTATCAGGGTGATAATCTGAGCATTTATACATGGATGAAGAAATGGAGAGCCTGGAGGCGAGGGCAAATGTGGAGGAATTGTGGAAAAAATGTAAAAACATTTTAATTGAGAAGACAACGCAAATACTGGGGAACACCAAACCAGTTAACAAAACGAATGGTTTGACAAGGGAGTGCCAAGAAGCAACAAATAAAAAATAGAGTATACCTAAAGACAAATCAAGCTGGATTCCCAAGAAGAGCAAAGGATGAATACCAAACTCTGAAAAGAGAAGAAAAAAGACAATTTGATGAAAAGTAGTTAGAAAGCATTGAAGGTCTAAGAAAGCAAAATAAAAATCGAAAGTTCTACAGAAACCTTAACAAAATGTGCAAAGAGTTTAAGCCAAAACTAGGGAGCTGTAAGGATGGAGAGAGAAACATTCTTATTGATTGGGCCTTAATTTTGAACAAATGGGTTAAGTTTTTCGACGCAAAATTTAATGGCCATCATACCGAGGAAGCAGATAACACCCTAGCAGATCGAAATGATTGGAATTTATTCAACCCCAACGAAACACCACCTACCATTGAAGAGGTTGTCCAAACCATTAAAAAGCTTAGAAATAATAAATCACCTGGAACTGATCAAATTTGCAGTGGGCTTTACAAGAATGGTGGCGACGCCCTGCTAGAGACACTGCATAAACTTTTACTTTTTGTCTGGCAAAATAAGACCATGTCCTGTGAATGATCTCAAGGCGTAATATAAAGGCCTGTTACATAAAAAAGTGATTAGCTCCAGTATGGCAAATACAGACGTTATACAACCCTGTTAACAAATGCTTACAAAATTTTAGCAAATATTCTTTACGACAGGCTACAGTAAGTTTACACAGTGGGCATAAATGGAAAATACCGACGATTCACTTCAGAAAAATCAACAATTGACCAGATTCGTTCAATAAGATAGATCCTCGAAAAAAGTTAAAATTTAATATTGAAACCCATTAGCTGTCCGTCGACTTCAAGGCCGCATACGACAGTGTCCAGAGAATAGTACTATACCAATCAATGTGGAAATTTGGTCTACCAGAAAAATTTATCTGATGATAATGAGAA